TTCCCTCAAAAGTAAACAGTCTTGTCAACACCTGTGATCTTAGATTTCTAGGCTCCAGAACTGTGGGAAAATAGATCTCTGCTATTTAACCCAGGGGCGCTAGTGGTAAAGAACTCGCCTGCTAATACAGGAGACAGAAGATTCGCGGGTTTGATCCCTGGGTTGGGAAAATCCTCTTAGAGGAGGGCATGGCAACCCACTCCAGTAGTGGGTTGGAATTTTGCCTGGAGAACCCCATGGTCAGAGGAGTTTGGTGGGCTACAGTCCACAGGGTCACTAAGTGTCAGACACCAATGAAGTGACTTAGCACATATGCTGTTTAACTGCCCAGTCTTCAATCTTTTGTTATAGCAGCCCTAGCAAACCAATACAGATGACCTCTCAAAGGTCACTTAGATCTATCTTTGACATTATTTTTTCTGAGTCTTGGATCAGCACTCACAACTACCTACTGAACATTCCCATCTGCATGTTTTACAAAAAGCAAAAATAAATGTCAAAAATGAAATAATCATCTGCCCAAACCTGCTACTCTTTTCTACTTTTCAGTATGTCTTAATAATCAACACTCTAACCTTAGAAGTTCAGAATTATTTTGTGTGTTTAGTGTTAACCGTAATGTTAAAACTGAGTAAGGCAGTGTGCAATGATGTTAGCTAGCAATAAATGATACATTTCCTTATCTAAGGAATGTTTTGAAATGACTTATTCCCTATCAAACCATATGCCCTACCAAAAACTAAACACAAAAGAGATAAGAAGAACTATAGAAACTTAAAAGATTTTTTAGCAAATGTCTTCAGGACAATTTACTTTGTTTAGTACAGGTAAATTAGTATGATCTCATTTTCAATTGAGAGATAATATGAGTAAGTATATAAAATGTAAATGTATAATTTAAGAAATTTTTATACAACCAAACCCCATCCAATCATCAATGTTTTAGATATAAAACATTTTCCAGCATCCTAGAATCCCCTACCTGCCTGCTTCTGAATCATAATTCCCTTCCTCCTTTATAAAGATGATCACTGTCTTGACATTTGTAGTCACCATTTCTTTACTGCTTCTAGTTTTGCCATGTATCTATGCATACTTAAACAATAGAGCTCAATTTTTCATTTCATTTTTATATGAACAGAAGCAAAATGTTTATTATGTTTTGCTTTAATTGCTCAATGCAATGTTTATGAGAATCACCTAGGTCTTTTATTTTATATTGTGTGTCTATGTGGAGCTATCTTTTAGTTTATCCTAATTTAAATTCTCAAGTCTTCTTGTATGAAGATTGCTATCTTTTATCAGTTCTAGCCATTTCTTAGCCATTGTCTCCTCAGATACAACTCTCCCCTATCCTTCTAATAGTCCAACCATAAAATTGAAATTCTTACCCCTATCCCACAGGATTCTTGACTACTCAGCGTATATGATTGATCTATTTTGCTATACCTGCTACACTATAAAAAATATCTTTTGACTTATCTTTAGGTTCATTAACTTTTTGTTCATCTAAAATGCTATTAAACTGATCTATGACACTTTTGGGCTACCCCACTTGCTCAGTGGTAAAGAATCTGCCTGCAGTGCAGGAGACCCAGGAGACCCAGCTTTGATTCCTGGGTCAGAAACATCATCGGAGGGGAAAAGGGCAATCGTCTCCAGTATTCTTGCTGGGAAAATCCCATGGACAAGGAGCCTGGTGGTCAGTGTCCATGGGGTAGCAGAGTCAGACACGACTGAACATAGCATGGCACATGCATATTTGCCCCCAAAAGTAAGTCAACAAAAGACTCAATTTCACCATGCTCTCTGAATGCAAAGACAACAAAAAAGAAAAAGACGGCTTCTTTTAACTATAACTACTGTACTTCTCCTTTTTAGAAGTTTCACTTGGTTTATTTTCAAATCTCCTTAGTCATGCAATACTTCTGGTCTCCTGATACCTGAAAAAATGTTCAAGCTTATCTTTTTTGCAGACTGTGCTTCACGGTTCTAATATTAGGACTCTTAGATGCACTCTTTTGCTCTGAGTTGATCCTGAAGCTTCTCTCTCATGTTGTCATCTTTACTAGTAGGTTTCGTATATTAAAATGTATACCACTAGTCTTTAAAAACTTACGTTACTTGAGAAAAAGGACAAATAATTCCTTCAGAGAAGATGTAAGTTGTTTTTTTTTTCCTAGGCACCTAAACAATACAACTTTCAATAAAATAGTCTTCTGATGCTTTTTGGAAACACATGTGATGTTAATTTGGTCTGTAAATCAGTTATGAATTAAGAGTTACAGTGTCTCAGATTTATTTAAGTCTCCCAGATTTATTCAAGTCTCCCAGATTTATTCAAGTACACTAGTCACATAAAACTGAAATTACCTCATTTATGTTATACTTTCTTATTATAAGAAGGAACTGACCAGAAATTTTAAGAAATTAATAGATGGTTTAGAATGACAAATTAAATTTCCCATATATGACTATGTGCCAGGGGTATTGTGCTAGCCTATAATGTAGCTCAGACATGGTGGATATGAAGCAGATAAATTTTTTAAAAACCCATATTGTTGGAGGGGAGGGAAGAAAAAAGGGATTCATTGCAATACATGAAAGTTACCTACAAAAAAAGTAATTCTTTGCTAAGGCAGAAGAGTTTTCATTGGATGATCTTCAACCCTAACCTTGTTCTCTACTCCCAATTACCCTCCCGCTAATAAAAAGTCAGAGCATTCTCACTCCACCCTGTAACACAAAACATTACCCAATTCAGAACAGGGATGTACCATCAGGAAATAGGCAGCTGCAGGCAATTCACTGGAGAAGAGAAAATCATAAATCCTATCAGACACACTGATTTTCATATTAAAAAATTATGTCCATAGTTAACACCATTGACAGAGTTGCACCTAATATGTTTATTTCAGTAATTGCAGAAAAAAATCCTGTTAACTGTTTGCAACTACCACTTTGACACAAGGAAATCCCCTTGCTGTAACAGTCTGACATGGAATTTAGACCAATGTAGGACAGAAGAAGTGGACAAGGCCATGACAACCCACTCCAGTACACGTGCCTGGAAAATCCCATGGGAGGAGCCTGGTAGGCTGCAGTCCATGGGGTTGCTAAGAGTCGGACACGACTGAGCAGCTTCACTCCACAGGACAGAAAACGCAAACCAGTAAGCAGCAATGAAACTGACAAGAAGGCCATCTCTTTTGCTACTTCTGCACTGTTTCATCAATATATGTCTTACTGTCTTGATGAAAAATAGCTAAATAGTTCACACATAATCAATGATGCTTGCCAGAATTAGATTTATAGAGGCTTCCTTTTCTTTACATCTAAAATTCCCATATAAGAAGTATATTTTTGATTATAGTAAATACTTATGTTTCGATAATGGTTAGTAGTTTTTTTAGTGTTCCAATTAGAACAAAAAAATTTAATGACTATTTTTTTAATAAATCGGTCTAATTTTTGTGTAGTACTTGAGTGAAAAATTCTTCTTAAAATTTCTATGAGAATTTGAAAATAGAATATATTATGCCCACTGGGTTATATCCTGAGACCCTGACAACTGGTTGTATTACAGGAAACCGAATAAAGCTCCAGGAGAAAACTTCAGTTAGCAACTCCTATAGTGGAATGTAACATGCACAGATTTATACAAAGATGGATTACAGACTTTTATGTGAAAAACAAAACAAAGTTTTAAAATTCATAAACGTGTTTTTAAAAATGAATTTAATGTTCATTTTGTATTTTTCCATAATTGCCTTTTGGAAAAATTGGCATGTAAATACAAATAACAATGAGAAATATCACAGAAACAAATAATTCCATTATTTCTGACTTTTTTTTAAACTACACAACAAATAAATTAAAACATAGATCCTTTTGAAAATGGAGAATCAGGGTTAATAATTTATAAATTACCATTAACATAAAGAAATTTAAAGGCTTCATATAATAAAATTCTCAGTTATGAGTCTATTAAATGGACTAGTTATCATAGGCTTCCATGGGGGTTCAGATGATACAGAATCTGCCTGCAATGCAGGAGACCCAGGATTGATCCCTGGGTTGGGAAAATCCCCTGGAGAAGGGAATGGCAACCCACTCCAGTATTCTTGCCTGGAGAATCTCAAGGACAGAGGAGTTTGGTGGGTTTCAGTTCATGGGGTTGCAAAGAGTCAGATATGACTAATCAACTAACACTTTTACTTCACTTTCATCCTATCACAGGGAATAGTTTGAAATAAGAAATTTTGGCCAGAGCCAACAGATTTACCAAAAAAAAAATATTTCTTTTAAGCAGAAATGACACTTAAATGGTTACCTAGGTACTCGACCCTGACACTCCTATTATAAAGGGAAGGGAAGTGAAGTGAAAGCTGCTCAGTCGTGTCTGACTCTTTGCAACCCAATGGACTATAATGTCCATGGAATTCTCCAGGCCAGGACACTAGAGTGGGTAACCTTTCCCTTCTCCAGAGGATCTTCCCAACCCAGGGATCGAACCCAGGACTCCTGCATTGCAGGCAGATTCTTTACTAGCTGAGCCACAAGGGAAACCTAAGGAAATGAGTGGGTAGCCTATCCCTTCTCCAGCAGATATCCCTGACCCAGGAATAGAACCCTGGTCCCCTGCATTGCTGGCGGATTCATTACCAACTGAGCTATCAGGGAAGCCCAACACTCCTACTATAGGAATTTATTTAAACAGTTCAAGTATAATTTAGAGACTAGGTTAACAGGTACCCATCATAGCTAAAGCCCTTTTCTATTTCAGCAAACTGGAGTGTTACATTCTGATCCCCATGGTCTTGGAGGGAGTTGTATAATTCTCTAATTCTGAAAATAGAGTTTTTACCTGACTGATGTAGAATTTGCAGGTTGCAAATTAAGGAAGAAGATGAGTACTAATATTTGGAGTGAAGAAGATTGGGAATAAGTAGTCAGTGGTGGGGTTTGGCACTTAAAATCAAAATTAAAACATAACAATATCACTTGAAGGACTGAACATTTTATTTACACCAACTATAAAATTTTATGACTTCACATTCGAAGACAGAGTTGCAATATAGGAAAGGAAATAGCTACCTCTTTCTTGAATAGGTGGATTTTGACATGTTGGCTTCTTATCAGCACATTTTATGGCATTTTGTTTTAGATGAAGTGAAGTTGTATGAGATGCATTGTTTACATCAGCAACAAAAGAACTCATGTTCCAGCAAAGGGCTTCATTAGTGCAAATTCAATGACTATTTACAAGTATATATGATAACTGCATTTTAAAGCAATCTAAGAAGGAATGTATTACATTAAAACTTTTCTAATATTTTTATTCCACTTCGCAGAATATCTAGACATAATCCAGCAACAGACCTGTCTTAATCACAGAATGCAAAATAAACATAACCTTCATTATGAGTAACAAAACAAAAAATTATCCACTTTGTAAATTTCAGTATGAGTACTACAATCAAGTACTTTTTAGATTTCCTTTTATTACTTAATCCACAAATTTAATTAGGATATATAAGAAATATTACATTTAAAATAGTTCTTTAAAATATATTTTCACTGGTAACAATTTTGTACATTTTTACAAAATAAAATCTATAAACATTCCTTCATATACACATTAGCAAACAGCAAGTAGTGGAAATTACTCTTTTTATACATAAACATTTTTTAAAGATATTTACAAGAGAAGATAACCATTTTTCTATCCAAAGATAAAGATTTCCAATATCCCTCTTATTCAACAGATATTCTTCTCATTTTTTCAGCTAATTCTTTTCTCACTTCAATATGTTTTTCTAAATTTTGCACTTCATGTGGAAGATTGATGTCCCAAACAGACAAGCAAGACTGTATCTCTAGAAAATTAAAAAACAAATCATGTTACAAAGATCTGCCATGAAACATTTTTATCTTAATTTTGTTAATTTATAGTTAGCTGTTGGACAAATGCGTATGTGTATATGTGTGTGTGTGTGTGAGCTCAAGCGTGCCTGACTCTTTGTGTTCCCACGAACTGTAACCCTCCAGGCTCCTCTGTCCATGGAATTTTCCAGGCAGGAATACTGCAGCAAGTTGCCATGCCCTCCTCCAGGGCATCTTCCCAACCCAGGGATTGAGCCTGGATCTCTTAAGTCACATACTAAATTATTATCATTTATAAGAAATTATATTTGGAAAGTGTTTAAAATACATTATAGAACTAACCACTAAATTTTAACAATGGACCTTTAGTAACATAAAGCTTCATGTTCTAAAAGAATAAAGCTTCTTCAAACACTTTTAAAAATCAGACTATGATTTGGATAATATGGAGTAGGTAAGATCTAAGGAAAAATACCCATGTTGGGTTTGAGCTAGTTCTCATTTAATAGTGGTTGCTAGCTCTACTTCACCTGAAAAATATATTACACTGCTAAATCACTAAAACTTAATTTTGATGATTTATATTTAAATTACTTGAACCATAAAGAAGCTATCAATTAAAAATGCCTAAAGTTTTACGCATATGTAATATTTACCTTAAATGTATAAAAATATAATATGTTATAAACTTTCATGTCATTGCAGTCTGCTTGGAATACAGTATCCTATTAAACATTACCTTTTTGGTGTTGCGTACCTTCAGCACTTTTCCGGTTATAACCCAAAACCAGCATGACATTTTTAAGGCTTCCTTTATTAAAAAACAAAAGAGCTCTATTAAAACAATATAATAAGTTGGACTTTAAAGAGTACAAAAGTTCATATTTTAAGACACAAAAACCTTGGAAATTAACTTACAATTCCACTACTTAAGAGATCCCTCAACTGAGTTTGAACAAAAAATACTCTGCAAGGTGACCAGCACGTTGTTAAAGTTAGAAAATTTGGTCTACCTTCTTGTTATGATTCTTATTGTGTGAATCTGAGAAAACAGCTGAAACTCTCTGCAAAATGGGCTCAATATTTACATATTACTCCAACAAAAGCTAAATATCAAAGAGATAGTGTATGCAAAAGTGATTTTGATACTTTAATGTGCTGGTCAGATGTGAAGCATTTGGATAGAGAGTTGGATGGACATGTAATATACTGCCACACTGTCATATAACCATACTTTATTCTCAAGTCATTCAATAATTTATTCAACAAATATTCATCAAATACTCTATGTACCAGGCCTTAGGCTAGGGCCTGGGAATAAAGGGGGAATAAACACAAGCAGACTCAATCCATCACAAAAATAGAGTTAAGTTCTGTAAAACTCGAGTTCATGTAGTGTTGGGGCTTTCCTGGTGGCTCCGCAGTAAAAAAAAAAATCCACCTTTAGTGCAGGAGACGTGAATTTGATCTCCGGGTCAGGAAGATTCCCTGGAGGAGGGCATGGCAACCCACTCCAGTATTGCTGCCTGGGAAACCCCATGGACAGGAGCCTGGCAGGCATCAATTCATGGAGTCACAAAGGAGTCGGACATGACCTAGCTACTAAACAACATCAACGGATGCAACTTTAGCAAATGAATAATAAAAATGCTGGAACAAGATGAAGACAACAGCAAATTCCTTTTACAGGAATGTATTAAAGAGAGACAAATGGAGTTTATGGTCTAGGGATGAAATTAGTTACTAAACAGTAACTAAGTTAACTAGGCAAAATGAAACAGCACACACAAAACTTTGAGGTAGGATGAAGCATGGTATTTAAGAGGGGCTGCACTTTCTTCTAGAGCAGAAAGAGCAAAGAAGAATACGGCAAATGACAAAGGCGAGAGAACTGAGGTGAAGCTAGATCATGCCGTATATTGTAGATTATGTTTAAATTATTTTAAAAATAAATTAAACCCATTGAAATTGCCCTATAATGTCAGTAATGCACAACCATTTGGATACCAAGCACATACAAATTAAAGGATACAACAACCTTGGTGAGGAAGACTAGAGAGACAGACTCTCATACGCCTGCTACTTTGCTTGCATGGACAAATGTCCTGGCAGTCGCCAGTCACTAGGAGCCCCTAATTCTAACTTTTGTGCAACTCTGACACCTATTCATGGAAAATTTGTGGGACTGAAGAAAAACATTGGTCTCTCCTTAATATATTCCTGTGAAAGGAATTTACTGTTGTCTTCATCCTGTTCCAGCATTTTTATTATTCATTTGCTAAAGTTACATCCGTTGATATTGTTTAGTAGCTAGGTCATGTCTGACTCTTTTGTGACCCCACGGATTGTAGCCCGCCAGGCTCCTCTGTCCATGGGATTTCCCATCAACAATACTGGGGTGGGTGGTCATGCTCTCCTCCAGGGAATCTTCCTGACCCAGAGATGGAATTCACGTCTCCTGCGCTGCAGGTGGATTTTTTTTTACTGCAGAGCCACCACGGAAGCCCCAAAGTTACATAAACTCTGGTTTATAAAACTTAACCCCATTTTTGTGATCAACTCTGTATAAATACTAAGTCTATTCCCTAAAGCAAATAACTAGTCAAAATAAGAGTTACGAGTGAGCATCATGTGCTATCATGATTTCTTCATAGTTGAGTAGAAAAGTAGGAAAAACAGAAAACATAAAGTAAATAAAACATAATGATTTTCCAATATTTGTATTTAGATTATGAAGTATATATTGTTATAAGAATATACACTGTAGCAGTATATACTATAAAAAATATAAATTTATTTACAGAAAGAAAAGCTAAATGGTATTCCTTAACAAGGGTAGAAAGTTTAAACTAAGATAAAAATAATCATCTGCTTAAATTTCTTTGACAAAAAGTTAAAAATACTCAACATTATATATTTTTTTGCCTTAATTATAAAGAAAAAAGAGAAAGTAAGACCTAAATTTAGTGTTCACTTTACAATACCTGCTTCTCTTATGGGACTAAAAACATCTACTCACTTCATGCTTATAAGGCCCCTTTTCAAAATATATCTTGCAAAATTTCACTGTGAATTTCTGAGACACTTCATACAATGTTGGGAAGTGAAGAGAAAACATATTCTTATAGTCTTAAGAGAATATGAAATAAAGATTTAAAATAAGTAAACTTGCCTAACTGTGCGGTCATCATGACTCTAACAGAATCACAAAAGTTGTGAATTATACGTATAATTCGACGAGTTGAAAGATCAAGGAGTAAGATATGGCCTCCTCCAGTTCCTATCCAGAGAGCAGTGTTCTTCTGAAGGCAGAGAGTCTTCACTCTCCCAGAATAAGACATTTTGTGTTTCGATTCCTTGCTTACTCTGACCAGTTCCTCCCTAAAACCATAAAGAAAGCATGCATTAATCCTTTTTCTTCAAAAATAAAGAGATAAAATAAATGTGACTATATATACAGACACACACACACATAAATATATATATACAATATTTTGGATTATGAATATATGACAAGATTCATGACATATCATTAAAATTATATGAAACTAATTTTGCTAAATATAGAAAGTCAAAGAGCCACATTTTGCTACTTAAAGCATAAATTATCAAAGATAACACAACAACTGACTCTTAACTTCAAGAAACTCTGAAATAAATAAGATGGATATAATTTTTATATATAACAAACCTATGCAATCCAGCAAAAAATGAACAGTATCTGCTCAATATAAAGAAAAAAAGCATTAGTTTCAAAATTTTTTCATGAATTTTAAAAGTTATAAAAGAAAAGAAAAACTATAGTCATGTACATGTAAAACATATGAATCCAAATCACTGAATTTTTCCCTGAGCTAATGAATAATTCATGATAAAAATGAGGTATCCAGAAGTAAAAAATTCCAACAATTTTAGAACTCCAGGAAAGGACCTTTTTTACCAGGCAGAATTGTCCAGTCTTCCAAACAGAAATCTCCTCACCATCCAGAGAAAAACTAAAGTGCTAGTAAACTTAGAAATCTCAATTTATGAATATAGTATATAATCAAAACGTTCTCCAGAAGATAAAAAGAAAATCTATACAGTAAAACCAAAATAAAACTATACAGTAGCTAGCAAATAAGACTGGTGATGATCCTGGATGCCAGCAGCAGCACACAGTTATGCGGGTGATGTGAAGCCTCCTACACACTTGATCCTGGTCAGTCTAATACATTTTTCACCCATATTTCATATGTTTTGTGACTTCTTCTTTGTAATACCTTGAAGAAACCATATCTATTATGTTTCTTTTTTTTTTCCAAAGAAGAAATTTGCTGGATACCAACAGATGGTGCCAAAAAGCATTAACAATTTTGCTTCTGGATTTTTTGTTTTTTAACATTTTTCTATTTAGAAGTATAAAGGAAGAAGAAGCCATACTTCCTCCCTCTGTGAAATATGAAGTGTAAGGACAGTTACGGGCATGAAATAAAGAACCCATGACACTGTACCTACATTCAATAACACAGTGCACACTTACAAATGTGATCAGCAGCTAGGCCCCATAGTACTCCTTCCACAGTAAAATAAATTAAAAAAATATTAATTTACTTTAAAAAGTGCACACAATCTATCAGTTCACAGAGTTTTTCAGTCTTCTTATCCCACACTTCCACACATGGGCTATTTTTCTTAGCAACATAAAGAGCCGTGTCTACCACCACTGCGATGATGTTGGAATCACAGAAAGATGTATTAGAAAATCTAGAGGGAAAGAAAAGAATGTCATTTAATTTTTTTATTATTTCAAAATGTAATACAACTTCATATTAGCTCTTAATGCATATAAAGGATTACCACTATTTTGAAAAAGAAACAATTATTTCCTATTATCCCCTAACCATTCTGAATAGAATACTTTGATACTTCACCTACTTCTGGTTACTTCATATTTCTTCCTTGATAATAAAATTTAAATTTGTTTCCTATTTTATTAATTTCAGTATTATCTGGTTATTTATAGAATATTATATTATCTGAATATGTATAGTATCTTGATTTCCAAGAAAATCATCATAGTATCTGTAACTTTATAATACTGCAAAAAAATCCATATTGTCAAGAGTGACTGGGAAATTAAGGTCACCCATTTACATGTAAAATCATAAGACCTTTAAATCCACCTAGTGACAGTCTTCAAATATAAAATATATCTGCCTCAACACAAGCCAGTCAAGGTAAGGGGAAAAAAAATCCACACCGTCATCCAAATATTAGAAAGCAAATTGTTATTTTTCCCCTTTGAAAATAAAGGAAAATGACAGACATTTTTAAACAACTACCTTCCAACCTCGTATATTTGGCATTTCACACATTTTGCAGACAGATTGGCTACCAAAGGCTCCATCTGCATGACAGACTCCAAGCTGTACTTCAAGGCTTAATTTAAATATCAGCTCCTCTCAAATTCTCCCCTGACTTACAGAAACAGACCAGCCATTCCTTTTCCCATAACTGATGCATTAAATATAGAGTATTAATCTGCATTTAATAATATTACAGACATTATTAAATACAAAATCATATTCATTAGTATGTCCCGACACCACCCTGTCTCTTTACCATGGTACCTGCTTAATGGGATGGAGATGTTAGACAACGGGTGACAACTTCTGAGAAGAAGAAAATATTTCCAAGTGTCTGTGAAACTGGGTCCTAATCTCTTTTCAGAAATGGATATCTTTGAGAGCCTGATATTTATGGCCATTCTATCTAGTAAAGCACCTATATTCCAAATCTTAAAGGGAATTTTAGGGGGCTAATTGATACCATGACCTCATAACATTCTACGTGAAATATAAGAATTGGGGGCGGGGCTTTTCTTCTTATATATGCAGGCCTGTTTAAGTTGGTTAAAAGTAGAAACTACAGAATAAGAATATGCGTGTGCGCTAAATTGCTTCAGTTATGTCTGACTCTCTGCAGCCTTATGGACTGTAGCCTGCCTGGCTCCTCTGTCCATGGGATTCTCCAGGCAATAATAATGGAGTGGGTTGCCATTTCCTTCTCCAGAGGATCTTCCCAACCCAGGAATCAAACCTGTGTCTCTTACATCTCCTACACTGGAAGGCAGGTTCTTTACCACTAGTGCCACTTGGGAAGCCAGAATGAGAATAAGTTTAACCAAATATTTACCATATGCTAGGAAACAAATCTCTGGGGGGAGAAAAAAAACAGAAAATCCTCAAGCATGAGAATTTACCATATATAGCAGTGTATCTGAACTGTGACCACACTTTAGAATCACTTGAGAGCTAAACATACATACAGACATGGGGGACCCACCCCAGTCTTAATTCATCTGCTTTAATTGCTCTGAGGTAGGTCCAGGGCATCAGATTATTTTTAGCTACACTAGTGGCTTCTAATGTGCAGCCAATTAAGAAGCAGTATGTCTAGTGGTATTGAGAAAATTATTTTTAGAAGTACATTTATAAAATTTTGTGACAGATATTGTGAGGGGAAATAACAAATACAATGGAAGAAAAAAAAAATCCAAGGCACCCAATCGCCACAGGTGGGATCATAGACAGCCACCCAGAAGTGACTCTTGGACTAAAACAGACAACAGGCATAGTAGTCATCCAGAAAAACAAAGAACCACAAGTAAAGGCTGGAGTAAGAGGGAGTAGGCTGTCTTTAAAATTAAGACAAATTCATTTTGACTAAGGCACAGAGGGTAAGGAGGTTGCAAAATATGAATCTACAGAGATAAGCAAGGACTAAATCATGAAAGTCTGGTAAGTCATCTCAAGGAACTTGGAGTTCATGCAAAAGACACTGGAATACACTGGCCAGTTTTAAGCAGGGGAGTGGCATCAGCTTGATTTGCATTTTAGAACAATCCCTCTGCCTGAAATGTTGAGAATGGATTGAACGGAAGACAATCAGAGGTTTGAGAACTCTCTGCCATTGTTAAAAAGGCCAGGCCTTTGATGGTAGATGGCAGCTTGGCCCATGGTAGCAGCAATGAAACAGTGAGAAGTGTAAGTATTTGAGAGTCAAGAAGAGCGTCAAGTGGTTAAAGAGTTAACACAGAAGAATCAAGGATTTTCCCCAAGTTTCAGTCTTGGGCAATTAGATGGATGTTGAAAAACTAGGATATTCCCTGAGATAAAGATTGCTCACTTAAAGCTAATAATAACCATGATAATTATCTAACATTTATTGAGAGTTTACCAAGTGCTGGATCTCATATTAAGTTCCTTATATTACTTTTTATTCTTTAGTTTTTCAAGTATCTCTTTGAGACAGGGTACATTACCTTTCTCAGGTTAGAGAGAACCGAAGATTTGAGAAGTTCTTGCCAAATTCACATAATCAATACATGACAAAGCCAGATATGAACAATCTATGCTCTTATCCAAACCCTACACTGCTTCTCACTGAGGAATATGATGAATAAGAACCAACTGCAATGCTTTGGTTAAAACACAATTTTAAAAAACTGAAACAACAAATTGGAACAAGGTTTATATTTTATTTTATTCTGCTTGAAATTGGTATCACTAACTTTTCTTTTGAGGAAATGTCTGCATAATTATCAACTCTAGAGAAGACTTAATTCCTAAGGTTCACTTCCTACAATCAGTAGTTAAAATTATCCACAGGGAAAGTGTGGAGAAGACCCTGAGTTGACCTCTTCTCACAGGCACACCATCACGACTATTTGAAAAACAATCAGATAAAAAAAGACTAGAACCTACCAGAAAAGATCTTCTACAACCAAAGATACAAAGAAGACATCAAATTGAGAGAGGCAGAAGGGACTGGGTCATGATACAGTCAAATCCAATACCCCCAGGTAGGCGCTTCACAAATGGGAGAACAACTGCAGAAGCACTTCCAGAGGAGGAAGAAGTTCAAACCCCACTTCAAGCTCTCCAATGCAGAAGTCCTGCACCAGGAAGACGAGCCCCCGGAGCATTTGGTATTGAATGGCAGTGGGGCTTACTTTCGGGAGTCCCAGAGGGCTGGGGAAAATAGAGAATTCACACTTAAAGGGCACACACAATACACCACATAGTCCGGAATAGAGGCAGAAGCTGGGGTAGGAGGCGACTGCAGCTCACCCAGGGGACACGGATGCCGGCAGGTCAACAAAGCTTTCAAGAAACCACAGGCCACACAGCCAAATATTTCAGAAATCAGTCCCAGCCACCAGCAACATGCTCTGGGACCCCTTAGCCCTGAACAAAGAATCCAGGACTTGTTTCTGCCTGCCAGTATGCCACACTAGCTCCACGATCTCGTTTTATCCATTAGTGGGCAGGCAACAGCCCCTGGGTCTCCTGGACACTGACTCCACCCACCAGTAGCCCAGCACTAGTCCAGGGTTCCCCAAAGTTCCACAGTCAGATGACTGGTAACTCAGTACCACAAACCAGAGATCATCTCAGCCCCATACAAGGCAAGATTGAGCAACCAAATGGACCAGAGGCCAACCAAGTTTAGCAGACTGCTCACACGGTCAGTCAGCTGCAACAGAAAGACCCTTGCAGCCCTCATGGGGGAACCTGTAGAGCATATAGTGCTAGTGATGAGAGGGGAATACACTGCTGGGAACAAAAGACGTCTCCTGCAAAATGCCAGTTCTTCAAAGTCAGGAACCATAACCAAGCTACCAGATAAGTTAATATAAAAAAGCAATTCAGGCAAAATTAAGAGACAGAGGAACATGTTTCAAATGAATAAACAAAATAAAACCCCAGAAAAAGAGCTAAGTAAAGTTGAGTTAGGCAATCAACCTAAGAGTTCAGAGTAGTGATCATAAAGATGATCACAGAACTCAAGAGAACTGATGCACAGAGCAAGACATTAGAAGCTTTAATAAAGATTTATAAAATACAAACAACAACCAAACAGAGATAAAGGATATAAGTGAAATTTAAAATGTACTAGAAGAAATCAATAGTATATTAAATGATACAGATGAATGAATCAATAACCTGGAAGAAATAGTAGTGGAAATCAATGATGCTTAACAGAAAAAAAAAAACAATGATAGAAATGAGGACAATTTAAGAGACTAATAGGACAACATCAAGACCAATAATATTCACTATAAAGTGAATAAGAGTCCAAGAAGAAGACAGACAGAGAGAAATGGGCTGAGAGCATCATAGAAGACATAATAGATGAAAAATTCCCTAACCTGGGAAAGGAAATAGATACCTAAATTCAGAAAGCAGAGTCCCATAGAGGATTAACTCAAAAACAAACATACCAAGACACACTGTAATTAAAATTTAAAAAAATAAAGATACACAGTAAAAAAAATAAATAAAAATAAAGATACAGAGATAATATTATAATAAAAGAGAAAAACAA